TGGGAGGTAAATGTTTTGAGTGCTTACCAAGCATTGCTGTGTGATCTGTGTTGGCATTTCGGGGCCTAAACCCCCCAAATACCATCGGTGCAGAGTCTGCAGCACGCTGGAAAATCAGGCCATTTGATGCTGTCTGCACTCTGCCCCTGTAGATGCTGTTAGCACTGAATGACCCTTGTTTGTTTGTTTGTTTGCAGTAGAACGTGGTGCCCTCACCATGCCTGAAGTAAACACAGAACAGCTGGATGAGAAGCAGGTGCAGCTCCTGGCAGAGATGTGCATCCTTATCGATGAAAATGATAAGAAGATTGGAGCGGATACCAAGAAAAATTGTCACTTGAATGAAAACATTGATAAAGGTATGGCTTGTTCAGCTTCTAATGGAGCCATTAAGCTGATTGAATCTTTTCAGAAATATAGTCACAATTAAATCAAAGCCTTAATTTCAGGTGAGTGTTGGATCAAACCAGAGCAAGCTCCTCCCCACACCTCCCTCCCCAGGGAACAACATCTAATAATAAAACACTGTGGTACAGAACAACACGCAGCTGGAGGTGGTTCCTAAGGAGAGAAATGTGTGATTGCAGACACAAGCTCTGTGTTTTGATAAATACTTTTGAATCACATTGTCTAGATGAAATGGTATTGCTTTCCTATTACAAATATCTGATTCTGTGTAGGTTTTCTATAGAATGCCACTTGCTCCTTTGCTGAGGCCTTCTCAAGTCGAAGAAGCTTCAATTTTAAAGTAGTTCACACAGAGCAGTTTTTAAAGCAGAATGAACACGAAAGGGTTTAAGTGATTGTGGCTTTATTTGAGGTTGGTCAGGTTCATGAATTTCTCGTGGTAGTGTGTGACCTCCTTTTATGTATTTAGGGAAGCATCTACCTGAAGAGTGAAGAATAATGAACTCAAAAGGTGAAGAAAACAGCAATTATACTGTTTTGAAGAGAGCCTGTTTTCCTTGTGCTGTTGCTGTTCTTGAAGCATCTGTAAATTTCATACCATTTTTTAGAAATTCTGGAGTTGCCTCTTTCTGATCCTAAATTTATGGATGCCAGGCTGTCCTGGAAGCTTGCCCAAATGTGCACATTGAGAATGGTGAACTGACTTGAGTTCAGTAGAACTCTTCTGTTGCATTGTTGTTCTTTAGCACGTTTCTAATTTCATAATGTTTTGCATAAGCTGACATAGAAACTGAATAATAATAGCTCTGGGGGTTTTATCAAATCCTTGGGTTTTAATATATATTAATTTTAAATCAGATTACCCAAAAATGAGGCCATTCTAAGTTTTTAATATATATTAATTTTTAATCGGATTACCCAAAAATGAGGCCATTCTAAGCCCTTAAACTGTCTTCATGTGTTTTTTTCTCTTCTATTAAATAGCTCTTAGTTTTTATTGTTGGGTTTTTTTTCTATTTTTAGGTTTACTGCACCGGGCCTTCAGTGTTTTCCTATTTAATACAGAAAATAAACTGTTGCTGCAGCAGAGGTCAAATGCAAAAATTACATTTCCAGGTTAGTACTGAAATGTATTTATCAAAATATATTACTTAAATCAGTATTTTTAAAGAAAGTCTAATCATGCAATGTTCTGAGGTTTTAGAATTGTTAGGTTTTGCTGCTTCAGAGAGGAGATGTTCTGTTGAACTTTAAAGAGTTCAAGATGTACTTGTCCTGCGGATGAAATAAGATAGTAGGACCATTAATGAATCATTATATATGTTCTTGGGAAATTATTGTTTCCTGACATGTTTGCACAAGGACAGAGGGTGTGTTGTTTACCTCGTTATATATGTTCTTGGGAAATGATTGTTTCCTGACATGTTTGTGCAAGGACAGAGGGTGTGTTGTTTACCTCTCCTGCTGCAAGGCACGTTCAGTGGGGTTGAAGAAGTGGCAGTGGGAGCTGCAGTGTCTCCATTCCATGGGTAAAAGCTGATGTGCAGCAGACCCTGCTGCCTGGGACACCTCCAGACCTTCATCTACATATGCCCTTAACAAACACTGGTACAGAAGTACAGCCAAACTATATATTGCATGATTTTTGAAGACTCCTGAATTATTACCATCAAATGCAAATGGAGAGTCATAAAAATAAGAAGAATAATGAAAGAAAAATATCTTGCATGAGACATCGTCTTGCAGAATTTTGCATGGAAAACAAATGTAAGCGTTTCCAGCTTGAGGAAGAAATCTTTACTTTAGAGATTGTTTTTAATTTTTTCCTTCACTACTAACCACTCAGAGTGCTCAAGTGTGGTTTGTAGGTATTCAAGCTCTATTTTAGCTCAACTTTTATAGATAAAATGTTGAAACAGGGTATAGATGGGTTGTCTTTAAACACAGGTATAAACTTCGTATTTAATTCTACTTACTTTCCGCTGGTCTTGAAGCTCTGTGAATATTTTCAATATTTAGTTGCATATAAACTCCCAAAAGTAATTTTAATTAGCGTTTGAGGGATAAACAAGGTCTTTAGAAGCTGGCTGAGTAGCTGCTGTCTTGGGAATGAGAGTGGCTGCCTTCACGTGGATCGAAAAGCTAACCTGCATCACAGTGATTGGAAGAGGCAAATCCTAGTGCAAAATGTGTAAAGAGAAATCAGTGAAAATACTCTCTTCTTTCTGTGGCTCTTCTTTGCAAAACAGAAACGAAGCTGTGATGTCTTGAATCACTGTCCTGTGTCTCAGGGGGAGGTTTAGTGTGTTGGGGTTTTTTTCCCCAAGTCTTTATACATGTCAAAAATGTACTGATCCAAACTTCTTGCAGATTGTTTTACCAACACTTGTTGCAGTCATCCTCTAAGCCATCCACTAGAACTGGAAGAAAATAATGCCATCGGTGTTCGGAGAGCAGCACAGAGACGACTGAAAGCAGAGTTAGGAATTCCCCTGGAGCAGGTAAAGGAAGGAGGGAGAGATGGGAATTCCTGCCAGTGTTTGCCAGTTTACAGACTAAGTGTGGCAGACAGGGTCAGTGTCAAGGAATTTAGCTTTGGAGATGCAGAGAACTGAGTGAATTTGAGACTTCCTCTATCTTCCATACTCCGAAAGTTTATCTCAGTAAATGGTGTTTTAGAATATTCCACTGCTCAAACTAAATGGGAGCCAAAGAGTAAATCCCACTCTATTGAAGGACTGTGTTGCTCCATGTGTAACTGTGGGTACAGCTGGCAGAGTGCTGTCCACGTTCACTGCAGGTGGTGCTCCTGGAGGGCATCACTGTGGACGTGCCTCCAGCACCCATGGACAAGTCCCTCTGCAATCCCCAGTTTCCTGTGGGTACTCAGGTGACCTGAGCACTTGGGTGTTTCTTCCAGAGGAATCACACACCTCACTTCTGGTCCCTTCCTTGGAGCAGTCACACACCTCACTTCTGGTCCCTTCCTCCCTGGAGGCTTGAGAGTGCACAGAGAGCAGGGTACAGCTGGCTGAGTTATGCTCTGGGTTCAGATGTCTTTCCATGTTATTACATTTATGCCACGGGACATGGAGCAGCAGGATCCTACTGGGAAACACACAGGTGATGTGCCCAGAATGGATCACCTGTTCTGCACCTGGCTGAGATCCCTGCAGGACAGGGTTACACTTGATCTGGCAGTAGGAGGTTCTGACCTTGGCTTAAAGTAGTTGTCCAATCTTTTCCTTGAAAGGTAATGGGGAGGTGCAAGTGTTTATGTTCACCAGCACTTGGTACATGTGCATTATGGTCTGGTAAGTGTTACTTAAAACTTGCTGTGTAGAAGTAGGTGCAAGTGTTTGTGTTCACCAGCACTTGGTACGTGTGCATTATGGTCTGGTGTTACTTAAAACTTGCTGTGTAGAAGTCCACTCAAAATATCACAGGGTGAGTCTGACTGAAGAAATGCTGTGCTGCTCATGTCATCAAAGTGCTTTAAAACTTTTTTATAGTCATTCTTTATGAAAGAAGTACATTGCCAGCTGTGCACCTGGGAGTAAATAATTTCTAAGGGAGAGGCTGATAATTGTACTGTAGTGCCTTGCAGTGCAATTGTTCTGGTCTGGCACTGGTTCTGACACGTGTTTCGGTTCTAGGTAACTCCAGAAGAAATCTCCTACTTGACACGAATTCACTACAAGGCCAAGTCTGATGGAATCTGGGGAGAACACGAAATAGACTATATCTTATTTGTGCAGAAGGATGTGACGCTGAATCCTGACCCTAACGAGATCCAAAGCTACTGCTACGTGACACAGAAAGAGCTAAAGCAGCTCTTGGACAAAGCTGCCAAGAACGAAGTTAAGATTACTCCATGGTTTAAGCTCATAGCAGAGACCTTTCTTTTCAAGTGGTGGGATAACTTGCATAACCTGAGCAAATTTGTTGATCATGAAAAAATACACCGAATGTAAATGGCTGAGGTAGAAGGTGCTGAGGGCCAGCAGTGATGTGCTGTCTCATTAACACTGTGGTAAACCAGTGCAGAGAATTGGTAGATCTGGAGCATGTTTAGTGTCTTTGTAGAGATGGCTATAGTTCATGCATTTTCTTCTGTATTTGTTGTCCTCCTTCCCCTCACGCTTGTTCTCTTGGGCGAGTTAAGTTTGATCCCATGTAAAAGGGGTAATAATAGCCTGAAACCCTCTGGGTTCCTCTTTCTCCCTTGCCAGGTGAAAGATGCTCAGCCTGTGTGCCCTGTGTGCTGTAACTGCACACCTGGGAGCGTCCTGGGCCTGCCCTGGCCAGCTCAGGAGGGCTGGTCTGTTCCCAGTGGGTGTGACTGCACCTTCAGTAGTGATGACACATCAGAATTTGGGTTCTGCGTTGATGCTGAGACTAGTTGCCTGATTATAAACCAATTAATTCAGAAGTAATCAGGATTATTTTAATTGCAGAAAGCAAATCTCTTCAGCTACTGTACACTGTAATTAACCAAACACATAAAAGCTGAAGTAATTGGATAGTCTGTGTGCACTGAGTTTCATTTTCAAGCACTGCGATGTGTCAAAGCTTTAGATAATAAACAGTGGTGGTTGGGGTTTTTTTCCCCACCACACTTTTCTGATTAGTTGAGGACTATTTAATTGAGTACTGGACAACTCTGAAATAAAGTAAGGATTAGTCATACCAAATGTAACTGATGTAATACAGGAAGTAGCCTATTTTTGGAGATGGGGATGTGGATTAGATAGCTCTGCTCCATCTTCCAGAAAACAAAGGCATCTTGATGGAAGCTTTCCCCCCAACCATCTCCTGTAATAGGCATTCCCAGACAGCTCTAACTCATTGAACTCCAGAACACTGACAGCTTCTAGGCTTACACGGGGTCTTGATTTCAGATTTTCATAAAAGTGTACCAGACTACCAGAGCTAACCCTTTTGGTGGGTAGTTAAGTGTTAGTAACAGAGTAAAATGGAAGGCTTTTTTTTGAACAATACCCTCAATCTGAATTAAAGACTTCTGGGTTTGGTGGGGTTTTTTTCCAAAATAAAGCTGAATTATGATTTCTTCTGTTCGCAGACTTGTCAACGTTTCTTAACTTCTCCCAGAGGTGTCCTGATGAAATAGGATGTTTCTGTTACCACTTCTCATTGCATTTGAAATGGTTTTGACCAGTTTGTGGCTGGTTTCAGGGTAAAAGTAACTTTTTCCAGTGGTCAGGGTTTCTGTTGTGACTGCAGCGCTGAAACTTCTATGCATCAGCACCTCTAGTGGTTCAATACTTAGAGGTCTTAGAGCTCTGTGTTCACCTGATGTATTGTCTTGAAGCAAGTAGCACTGGCTGAGACCAGTGACACAAGGGCTCCCTTGAATTCAGTGCAATCAGCCTTGTTACCCAGCTGTAGGTACTTTTCAAATACTTTGAATACTTTTAAAATCTAAGGTTATCTTTAAAGGTTATGATTAAAATACCTAACTTAAAACCTTGGACTCTTGTTTTCTTTTCGGACATGAGAATAATCCTGTCATTAGCACACTACAAACCCCTCCCTGTCCACTGAACATCACTGAAGCAGCACCATGTGAGGCAGCAGGGAACAAATCTAGTGGAACAGTTTCACTCTTCCAGTTCCAATGGACAGCTTGGAGCAAAAGCTGGCGAAGCATATCCTGAATAGAAATACTGTGCATAAGGACAGTGAAAGGAAGTTCTTTCAAGTCCCTCAGAAGTTTTGACATGGAAATTTTTCTATACATGGAGTTCTGACAGTGAAAGAAGTTCTTTGAAGTCCCTCAGAAGATTTGACATGGAAATTTTTCTATACATGGAACATTGTGGCATTACAATATGTTCTAACACTGAATTTATTGCAGAAATTAGGGAAACAATATGGATTTACACACAATGCTCCAGTATGCTAAGGCTGATACCTGAACACTCGGTGTATTAAAAAAAAATAATAATTAAAGGGTTCTTCCCACTTACTTTTTCGGTGTGTGTTAGTTTTGAACATGTATTTTAAGTGTACTCTTCAGGCCAACAGATTTATGATGCATAATTTTACTAACCTGTAGGTGACTATTGACCAAGTCAGGACAAAAAGGAAATCACATTTGACAATATAGTTTAGCTTGAACAGATACATCATTTTTGTCTAATCAGCTCCTGAAAATGTCTTCTTAAGCAGAGAATGACAGCAGCATAACTGATGTGCACTCAGGACCAAATTTCAGCCTCGTTCTCTGTGTCTGAAACACTCAGTGTTTGGGAGGTGTAAGCTTCCCTGCCCGTGCTGTTATTGCAGGTGACAGGTCACTGCAGAACTGCAGTTTCTCCTCCAGCTTCACTCACCAAATTCAGTGCACAGACACTAACTTTGTGCTCCCCTTGTTGGTGAACTGTTATTTCCCCACCAGTTTCAGCCTTCACCTGCATCACGAACTCATCACATACTGTACATCAAAGAATTACCTGCACACTGAAACAAACCCAAAATTTACTGAACCTGGGCATTTTTAATTCTGATGGTAGCTTTAAAAACAGTTCACATTTCTAGATTTAACCTTGTTATAAATTAATTTTATATAGAAATTTAAATGCTTTACTGATCCATTTTCTTATTCCTGACTTCGATGTAACAAATTAAGTTTAAAGTCTGTTCAGAAATGGCTTCTGCCACTGATGTAACCAAGTAAGTCTCAAGTCTGTTCAGAAATGGCTTCTGCCACTGGTAGTGAAAAATTTCTCACTATATTGCTCAGAACTGCAAGCTCAGGGAGCTTGAAGTATCTGAACCACTAAGACAAACCACACATTGAAACACTGTATTACTGAAAAGGAAGAGAGGACTAGAAATTAGTTTTAATAAACTTAGTTTTTAATTCTGATTCAGAAGACTGCTTATCTTCTCTGTGTTTTACCAGATTTTCTCTTTCCAGCCAGCAGGTGTTTTGGCTTCAAGTCAAATATGTGCCTGTCTGCCTCTCCTTTCCTGCCCAGGCGATTCATTTTCTTCTGAGCTTTCTTTGCCATGATCTTCACCTTCTTCACCATCTGTTTCAAAACAAAAACAGATATGCAGAGTACCTTCCTCAGTCACTCAGGTAACAGGCTTTACCTTTAAGAAACCACTAAGCTGGATAGTTTTAACCAGGACATTAACACACAACATATGTCACCGTCTGCACCTCTAGAGCAGGGTCACTGCAAGTGATGCTAATTCTCCTTGGCAAAACTTTTTCCAGTACACTAACATAGGATCATGCTATCCCTGGAATTCCTGGCTTTCTAAAGGTGGAACTCCACAGTTTGTACAATTCTTCCTTCAGACTTGGATTTAGAGACAAAAATTTAAAACGTACTTCTTGGTCTGTATTATGACACATTATCTGTCAGAAGGAAGTTGGCGTTTGAGGAATAGAGTGTTCAAATGAAAAGCTGCAAAGAGACCGAACACAAACTCTGGACAAACATAACCAGTCCCCCAAAGCTGGTTTCAGCCCCATCCTGCTGGTGTGAACAGGTGAATCACAAACCTTTTCATCACGGAGCCCAGACACATCCCGCGGGGTGCGCGAGCAGCTGCGGCTGCGCGACACAGACCTGGGCGTCTCCGACTCGGCGCGTTTGCGTTTCCTGGTGGTGCTGCGGGACCTTCTCACATAATGGGCCTGAAATCCAAAACATCACCTCAGTAACAAAGCCAGAAACAATCAGCTCAGACTAGGCCAGTAATGGGAAACCAGAAGTGGACTGCTGTAACAATTATACTGGTTATTCCCACAGTAAGGTAAAGACCATCACAGGTGTCGCTCACTGCCTCTCTGTCCTCCAGGAACACATTTCAGTGAATATTAGCTTTTTTTCCCACAATTACTAACCAGTTTTCTGATTTTTTTTCTGAGTAGAATCCTAAGTAATCAATAGAAAGGCACAAATTCATGGACAGCAAGACTGAAGCAATTTTGCAACAGCAAAGAAACAATGAAGAAACCTTCCCTGATGAGTGCCCCATGCACAGCACAAAGCCCTGAAGAATTTCAGACATGAAGACATATCATGCTAAAGGATAAGTATTAAATTCCTTCTGAGATCACTCCTACACCAAGATGACATGTCAGCTCTAAGAACCACAGATGCTGCAGGTGTGTAGTGTTGACATTCCTTGTTTACCTACAGAATTTGAGGTCTCAAGATCCAGAGATCCATAATACTCCTGGATTTGCTGTACGAAATCGACTTTTTAAAAAAATTTCCCTTCAAATGAAACGTCTCCCAAAGGCAAATCTATGTGTGAAGTCCTTTAGCTGCCTTACATGTGAGATGCCAGTTGTCCTCAAAAACTTCAATTACAGCTCAGAGAATTACTGAAAAAGATAAGCCTGATCTGTCGTTGTTACTATTTCTGACATAGCAGAGTCTTATCCAAAAAAGCAGCCTTGAAAATGAAGATGTTGAGCCAAACCTGCTCTTGAATCCTTCACAAATTCCAAGAATGCAGTGCACGTATGTATGTGACTCTGGATAAATGCTGCTTTATTGTGTCAGTCTACCCAATGTGTTTTGATCACGTTACTCAAAAAATTCCAGAATCAACTGTCTGACCCGGGGGTTCCTATTTCCTCCTTAAACAGATCCCAACACTCTCTTTGTCTGACCTGGGGTTCCTATTTTCTCCTTAAACAGATCCCAACACTCTCTTATGCCAACTGTAATATGCATTTCAAATGTGCTCATATACATTTAAACAGCTTTTAGATAAAAATTGTGTTTAGCAAAAACTTACATCATCTTTATTAGTCATGTCGAGTCCAAGATCAGTCATTTCTTTCTCCAGCACCTTCCGCTCGACCTGTAAATGGGGTTCCTATTTTCTCCTTAAACAGATCCCAACACTCTCTTATGCCAACTGTAATATGCATTTCAAATGTGCTCATATACATTTAAACAGCTTTTAGATAAAAATTGTGTTTAGCAAAAACTTACATCATCTTTATTAGTCATGTCGAGTCCAAGATCAGTCATTTCTTTCTCCAGCACCTTCCGCTCGACCTGTAAAAAGACAGTTAGGAACTCGTTTCTTTCAGAACAAACGGTTCCATCTCATGTTTTGTTTCAATGTACCTCCACAGGCCCATTATAGTCACTGAGGG